ATAATAACACAGGTCGCGGTTTTGCTTTGTGGTCTAGTTGCTGAAGATAACACTTTTTTGATATCAGTGCTCAGTAAAATATGTTCAGTAAGCAGCAAGTTATTTTGCCACTTTTGAGCCTTCTATCTTATAACTACAGTAACTACAGTAGTAACACTTTACTTTGCTGTTCATTTTCCTGCACAGTTTTTCAGTTTCTTTTTATGCTTGGAAAATGAACTTCACAAATCAAAACAATGTGATATGACCCCTAAGGTCATGTCATTATCAAGTTCCAACAGATTTCCCGAGGATGAAACCTTATCTCCACTAATTTTCATACTTGTGTACTACTATTGCACTCATGGAAATGGAGACACACTTTCTAGTTCAATGTGTGATGACACATGCAAAGGAAGCTGCATAACAAGTTCACAAGTTTTTTTTTTTATGGTTGACTGGCCACAACCTCAACAATTTGTCTCCATAGAACACAGTTACAAGCAAAACATCCTGGATTTTCACTCCAAAAGACAACTACAATTACTCACTTACTAAGGTCACTTAGTCAGGGACATGCACATGTTATGATAAGTGGACATTACAGACTTACAATTTTCACTTAAACCACAAAAAAGCAGAAATAACCCCAAATTCTTTAATTGAAGGAGGAAGCTAGGTCATATCTAGAGACCCAAATATAATAGGCAAATGGGGATGGACTTTTTCAAAAAGAAAGCACCACTCATTTTCTTTGGAAAAATATACACTGTATAAATATCCTGTTAAAAACTCATCATAAACCATATGTATATTTTACAACTTCTAAGTCGCTTATAATTTATTAAGTGATATGCAAATATAATTTATTAGGTGATATATAAATGTTAATTTACCAATGTATTTACCAAAATCAGCCTTTTGACTGAAAATGTTCTAATAAGCACCATTCAGAGTTCATGTAAACAACAGAAATAAAAAGCTCTAATAAAATAAATAAAACTACACTAATAAAATAAATGAATAAACACTAATGTACATTTATATTACTAATTGTACATTTACACCACTAATAGTACATAACAGAAATGAAAAGAATATATATATATATCAGATTCTTATACTGTTACTTGCAAAAAGCATCAATTTGATGTTATTTTACTTTAAAATAACATACAAAGAAGCGTTAAACCATTTCCTTTTAACAAGGTAACTTGCAGTTATCCAGTTAACAGCATTTTTACAGTTTGTTTCTCTAAAAGCATTTTACAGCGTCACTATTGTGTTTTCACTGTTTAAAGAGAGATTTCAAACTGAATGGTGTCCATCAGGAAAAGCAAATACCCTTTATCGATGCACCTGGAATGTATGAACATAATAAAAGAGCAATCATAAATTCAACAGCTGTGTGCTTCACAGTGTGAGATAGCCTATGTTTATTTAAAAACTGGTTGTTGGAGCTAAGAAATCATGTCACAACAATCTACACACATCCGTTCTCTGGCAAATCTCAACCTTTAAATGTCAAAATGCTTAAATGAGAAACTCTACGGACAAGTACATTTTTTAAATTCTGTATAGCATGAACCACCAGAAGCATAATAGCCATTTAAAAGATTAGAAATCATTATGAAACAAGGACATTAAGAGATAAAGATTGTCCTCACACATGACCAGACATACATCTACTCTTAAACATCCTACAACATTACATTTTCAAAAAATATTTTTGACTATGATTTCATTGGTTAATATCAGATATTACCACATTACAGACAACCGTAACATTTTGGCCATACCCTGAGCAAGAGAAACCCACAAGCTAAGCAGCTTAAAATGATTTTAGCAATAATACACAAGGGACCCTTCTTGGTTTTTAGGCCAGCTCTCTGTCAACCCCAGTTACTGTGGGCGTTTACTATATTCAATTACTTTGAAATAAATCAACTTTTTTGCCGACTTACATAATAGCTGTAGGCTTACGTTTTTTTGTATTATGTTCAAATGGTATCAAATCTATCTATCCATCCATCCATCCATCCATCCATCCATCCATCTATCTATCTATCTATCTATCTATCTGTCTGTCTATCTATCTATCTATCTGTGGACTCATGTAAGAAGTAATGAGTTGATTCATGTTCATAAACCAACATTCAAGCTCTGTTTCATTCTGCCTCCCTCTTACACCTCAAACAAGACCCCAGATGAGCATCTGCAGGGATGCTGTGCATGAACGAGACGCTCGTCCCCACACAGTGATTGTGATCTCCCACATTGGCACAGCGGTGTCTGTCTCCACCGCCCTCTCTCAGTGTCTGACATCCTTGCGGACTTGATTCCCAGACGTCCAATCCTATACTCATGATTATCCCACCCAGTGTTATCATGCTAATCCGATGAAGAGAGCAGAAATACAGGCACTATTAGACGGTGAATATGTTGGATAACAGCGCAGGGGGTGTGGGAGGAATCTCCATCATAGGTGGAGACACTCAGAGTCTGCCCTGTGCACACACCTCCTGCTAACTGCCAAATCAGAGAGACGGACTGACACTCGTCCAGCTATATATGAGTGCTGTAATTATAGGGTTTTGGGTCAAAAGTCCTGTTACAAAAATGCCTGATTCTAGCAGTGGTTTTGTATGTTGCTTGTTAAAATATAGATAAAAATTGTCTTAAAATCAAACACTGCAAAAATTGGTTCATACTCTACTTTGTCTAGTTTTCAAGTACAGATATGTAAGCATTCCTAAAATCAAGATACATTTCATTAAGAATCAAAATGACATAAGAGATCAAGTATTTTCTGAAAAATCAGGGCCTGATTATCCATAGACTGGATTGGGTGAGTGCCCTGGGGCACCAGCCAATAAGTGGGCACCAAGAGATTAAGATAATGACTAGACCTTTAAAATATTTTTTAAGGTGGGGGGAGGGTGCACTTTAAATGTGGTCACCCTAGGGCACTACACTGTGTTAATCCGGGCCTGTGAAAAATGTATTTAATGTAAATGTAATTAAGTGATTTATGCTTCCCTTTGAATTAAGTTTAAATTTTCCTTAAACTTATGAAAATTGTTGTTTTTAAACCACTTAATTTAGATAAATGTTTCAGAATTAAAAAATAATTTTATCGTTCTACATATATACAAACTGTATATAAATTATATTTAGATTTTTTTTCTTAAAAAAAAAAAAAGAAAAAACAAGACTTAATATCTCAAAGCATTTTTCATTCATTTTAGAAAATGAACTTTTCTACCGGAAATAAAAAACAAAATGACAAAAATATTGAGTATATATATTTTTTGCAGTCAACATTTTTTTTAAATAAATTCTATCTTCTTGTTTAAAATTCCAATATAATATTTTTCTAGCTGATGCATAAAAAGTGAACACAGTAAACCACACTGACATACATTAATGTAATATCCATATGAATATATGAATGCAATTTAAAAAATAAATAAAATGGTTAAAATGTGGCTTTCTTACAACAAAGGCATTTGCAAGCAAGTCATGTTTTTCAAATGTCGTAATTTTATGCAATTTATACTTTATTTATAATTTATACAATTTATTTAATTTATATAATTTATTTATATCTATTTATGGTGTATATTAAACATAACAATGGTAATATTTTGGGTATTTCTGTATGTTACATATTGCATTCTTGCTTTTGCATTGAATGTTTTGTACTTAGTAATTGTTTGACAGTTTAAATGTGCTATAATGGCAGATTCTCAGTGTGACAACTTCTCATATAATTTGACCCGCTACTGGGGCATGTTGTCACAAATGTGGGTCAATATGGGTTAAATTAACTGTATCTTTTTACCTGTGCAACAATGATGGAAATGCTCAAAAGCAAGACATATAAGCTGAGAAATATTAACAGGAGTGTAAAACGACAACTAACCCTAAACACTTATCCATATACAGTAGAAACTATATGTTTATCCATCTCTGTTCATATAATAATTATATAAACCGTAAGTTATGCAGACACTGATATGTATAATACAGTGTATGATCTTCACATGTAAACAAACACCATCCGCACCACAGCAGGATAGATGCAAATGACACATAATATATATTTATTCCCAAAACACAGTTAATGCACGCCATATCATACTCACATATGACAGATGCATGTTCACATTCCAACACAGACGCACACAGAGCTTTACATAGTGAACATACAGACAGATGTGCATTATTGGCTTATGTTACCAGAAGTGGGTCAGTTTTAAGGGTCATAGCTCATGCACTGGTGAATGTCTAGTACATAAAAGTGAATAAAATCACTGAACCACAGCTGGTGGAGGTGTCAGGGTGGACATGAGCAGGGGCTTGGCTGGATGCAGAAGAGGAGATGCCCTTCTTGCATCTCTCCACGCTGCCTTTTCTCATAATAAAAAGCTTTTCTGTTTCTCGTGAAAAAAGAAGTACAGCACTAAGACTATCTGCTGTTTGTTTGAATCAACAGGCTTCAGAAACATGAATCAGTGTCACGACCGACAAAAGGCTGAGCCACTCCCGCGCCCGCCGCGCCGCGCGGCGCGATCCCCGGCGCGTCCAGAGGTGATAGTAACGTAATTAGAGAAGGTGTTGAAGGTGTGAGAAAAAGTGACAGGTGAGGTAGCATCCTATTTACAGGGGGGTTCCTTGCTCTTGTGCACAATAACCCAGACATGCAGTGTAAGGGCGTTGAACGTGCCAAAGCACGTATAAACATCACACACAGGCTTTTGAGGAATATGGCAGTTTTATCACACATATGCATCACAGGCTCGATGTATGCAATAGCCTATATGTGAAGGGTGTGATGCACATCCAGACCGCTAAATTATGCCATTCGGACATAATGGGACACATCTGACAGCTGCTAATGCTGTTTAACTCTGTAATGCAACCTCTAAGTGCATGTGCGGATGGATGCACCTAGTGAGTAAAATAAACTCATTGACATCCAATGTAAAAAAAAAAAAAAAAACCTTTAATAAAACTACCTGTTTTGAAAAACGGCTCCGTATCTGGATCGTTCGGTCCTTCCTCAGCCGCCTCGGCAGAATTCATCATTGCAGGATACGTTTCCACGAATGACGGTTATGATGATGGTCAGATTTTACACCTACGGATCTTTGTAATCTATGTGTGAGGAACACTAGAGCGCGTGGCCGTCTCCATTGGTGAACGCTCGTAGTAGTGAATGATGATGATGATGATGATGATGCCCGAGGTTCTGCGCTCAGCGATACTGTATCCAGCGCTCCTCGGGGCGCTATTGTTTAAAGCTTGCCCGCCTCTGCAAGACAACTGCTGGGGGAACCCCGATAGAGAGAGCCGTAAAAAAAGAAAAACGTGCATGCAGTGTTAATGCAGGTCTCTTAAAATCCCTTATTCATCCGTTCCTCCTCCACCCGTAGTATATTCCTCCATCCGTTCGATGTGACCCAGTGGATATAATGGCAGCGCTCCCCACACTGACCGAGCGAACCGCAAACTGCCTCCCACGATATGCTCCAGCCTCCCACTATTACAGATGAAACAATGCAGCTAATGCAACGACTGTTATATAGGTATATACAATCGTTCTAGCGCGAAAGAGGTTCTTTATTGTGGCGCAGCGTGGAGAACTGGACCAATCTGTCCTCCTGATGCGCTCAAGCGCTTCCTAATAATGGGGTGTGTGTATTTTTCAAGAGGCCAGAGAACCCCAACCATCACCATTCGGTCCTGTTAAAGGGATGCTTACTAATTAGAATCAACGAATCGCGGTCTGTTAGGATGCTTTTATCATTGGAACCCCATTTAAAACTTATTTGCAGATTTCTATAAAAGTGGTTATTTTGTTCACTGAATATCGTTGTTTAAATAAAATGTTGGTCATGTTATTCTTTAGAAAATAACATTAGCCATTCTGTGAAATTATAATTTTTGAAAATAAATGTAAACAATATCACACAAACGGTGAGATTTTGCTTTTATAACTATTATATTTATTATATTAAGCAATTATATTGCTTAAGAATTTTTATTTTTATAAACAATTCATATCGAGTCCGGGGAGTGAATTTCGAGGGGGGACGGCGTTTCATTTCTGGTTAGGTTTATTTGGAAATTAAAGTGATTTCTATGTGTATGTGTGTGTGTGTGCGTGTGTGTGTGTGTGTGTGTGTGTGTGTGTGTGTGTGTGTGTGTATATACACGCGTGTTTGAGGAGGGGATGCATTTGGCAGAGGGATCTCAGGGTCTGTTTGCTC